GTGAAACAAATTGATGTGCATATGTATAATATCATGTATGATGTATGTGTGAAGTTTGATTGTGATTGGTCCAGGCATTTCTAAGATACAGGTCCAGACGCACAGACGGAACCACAGACGCACAGAGGTCAAAACATAAGTCCCTGTTTTCGGACTGCATCTGAACGGGGACTAATAATGATGAATATAATTAGTAAATCTTCCAAATGGACATTGAATACAATGGTGTTTTAGGCAATTAGCCAAGCTAAGTATCTGGACTGGGTCTTTAAAATGGATCAGATTTAACTAGTACCCAGATTTTTTTTTAGCCCATGTTAAACGTTCATGCTTGTTATTTGACCTCTTAACCAGTGCTATTAATTAAAGGAGGTTCGCACAACTATTGAGGGCACTGTTAATGTGTGAAATGTTGATACAAACACATTTTCAGTCCATTCCAACAAACTTGCTGAGAAATATCCATTTTACTATTTTTCCCTTGAGTGTCATTCCCAAGGCTTGTTTAACAATCCGTATCTCCAGCAACACGATACTTCCTGATGAATGCAAAGCAAAAGTAGTTTTCCAGTTGGTTAATTTATGTTCTTGATGGAAATGATAATTTGGCTGACATGGTTTTACTACGTCAGCAGTGACTGTGTGATTCACATGTAATGCGTTCCGACCATATCAGATAATTACTGCTGAATTTATTACTTCATAACACTGTGTGTCAGAAATAAAAGGTTGTGCTTCACTTTATTACTTTCACATTATAGTAGATGTAATGTCATCTCAGAGAAAACTGTAAATCTCATTTGTCATTTATATGCTAATACAGAGTATAAATGTTTCACTGAATCTTATTTTCACCTATTTAAAAAAATTCCAAATGAAAATAAGCAGTATTGCCTCACCTGACCATCTGTTATGTACTTAACATTAATCTTCAGAAATTTCTCAAAATATTCTGTTTCTACCGGGCTTTCTATAGACAACTGTCGTGATGACTGTCTGACAACTTTTCCTGGTTTCGGAGTACTATGCCGTTTCAGGAGTAAATCTTTCTTGTCTTTCCTTTTGTCTTTCGATGACTCATCTTTCGTAAATGGAATGTCTTTAGATTTTTGTCTTTGCGACACCACTGGTACATCCCTTGGTTTGTCAAAACTTCCTGATATACTCTAGGGAGAAATGATACAAAGACAGGTGTTATCCCAAATCTGGGATGGTTATAAATCATGTGTTGCTTCAGACAACTGGTGTAAAATTATAAATGTAGAACGAAAATATTATTGTAATAGCAATGATATCTCACTAGGTTATAATTCTATAGTTTTACTAAAAGATTATTATTTTGGCAAATCTGTGAAACCTAGTCAGTGAATGTGTACAAAACACTAATGCTTTTTATGCATACCGTATTTACCATATTTTACATTCAACTTGTCAAAAATCAGTGAAAATAAATTTCATACAAAATACTCAAAAAGTTTTTTCATTCCAGCTATAATTTAGTATTTTCCATTTTGGTAATCTTCTATTTTGGTAAAACCTGTTTTGTAACTCATATTCTACAATATAATGGTTCGCTACAACTGATTTTTTAGGTTAATCAAGGTGAAGTTAAAACAAAAGCCTCTACAGATGACTAAAATGAATGGTAAAAACAGTGTCAGCAGCAAAATTCCTTCATTTTGCATATGTATTTCATTCGAGTTCAGCTGAAATCTCAACACAACAGCCTCCACTGCCATATAGACTCTGATATGTACTCACAGTGAAATTCTCATTGATAGGTGTGATTTCTTCAGGTGACTGAGATGGACTTACACAAACCGGCTCAACGGAATCCGGGTCTGGTACATACAGCATCTACACAGATAAATTAACATGATATCAGTACAAATTTTAGTATTTCATCAGCGGCTGTAGCCATCCAATCTATATTACCAGATGAAAAAATGGCGTCAATGCTCATTCCAATTAAGTTAACTGTTGACAACCGTTGAATTGACACTACCGAAATAGTTGTTTTATTAAAATATTTGAAGATAGTTAAATTATGTTTGCAACAATTTTCCATGAGTTTGAGAACTTATTGTGGCTCAACACAATTGTCAATCATTGGCACATACAATTTCCTTATGAAAAAAAAACTATTTAACAGTGTAGGCAAGACCTGAACTAATCTCTAGGAAATTTCCCCTGAAACAAAATGTTGTCTCTTTGAAAATTAGTCTCTTGGGAGATGTTGAATTGTTTGAATTATGGTTATACAATTATAAAACCAAAAGTTACAAAAAATAGCAACGCCCATATTTTAGAAATCATGGCCACTTTTGTGAAACCACATCCAAATTGTAACTCCATATTCAATTAACAGTTAACAGAGAAGTTCGAGTTACAAGCAACATACATTTTTTTTTTAATGTCCAAATTCAGTCTCAAACAAAAACATTACAATTACATTACAACAGTTACAATTCAGGTGTGGTTTTGTAAAAGTGGGCGTGGTTTCTAAAACATGGGCATGGTAATTTTTCGTAATTCAATGTTTTCGTAACTTGAATAATTCGGCATTTCCCTTTTCAGTTTACTCTGCAGCTTATGTGTGTAGATGCACCCTGAATACTGTAGAAAAAACATTTTTGTGAATTTTTCGCGCCAGTCAAAATCATGAAATTTCTCTGTAGTCCTCTGACACAGAGTGTCATTGACTTTTGTGAAATTTTTCCCGATTACCATAAAATACTAAAATAATATTCCAAACACAAGATATTAAACAATATACAGTATAGGACTTGCGGATACACAAGTTATCAACGCCTGTGTTTCTGATGCATTTTTTACTACTGTGTCTCATCTCAATGGCAGCTATCACAATCTAATTTTATGTACACCATGGGAATTGCTCAGAAAGACCACAGTTCAAGCAGACTCAGACAAAGTACAATGTAGCACCCTTGTCGCATGTGCATAACTAGCGTTTTCGCAGTCAGCATTTATATAAAAAGGTCACACTATTTGTTCCTGCAGTCAGCATGAACATAAAAAGGTCACACCATATCATCCTTTGTTGTGGTTGAAGGGAAAAAATGTAATTAAAATAATTCGCCATGGAGACAGAGTGACAAAAGCAGTCTAGACTTACCTGTCCAGGGAATATCATTCTGCATCCTAATCTATTCAATCTCATTAATTCAGACGGTGTCGTATTGTAATGTAACGCTATACTATCAAGGGAATCGCGAGTAGACACCTACAAAAATAACAATACCAATTAATTACTACTTCATCTGCGGTAATTTACAATACAATTTTGTGATATTTGAAGCCAATATAATTATAATGTAGCATTTTGAAGAAATTTTATCATTAAATATTGCAATGATAACATGACAATAAAGAGAACTTTAAACAAACTATTAGAAAATGTATAACAAACTGCTATGTATTGCATGGAGTTACAAGGTGACAGAAATGAGTTTTTGTGTAGAATAGGAGTCTCATTTGTGCATCTCCATTCTTTCTAGCATCCATGGTGAAAGCAGGATTTCACACATCATCAACATGATGCTGAATGAATGAAGATAAAATTTTATATGTAAATACCAGGTAATATGATACATACTCAAAGTGACAATAGCTGTGATTTTAAGTGAGATCACAACATCAATATTGTTTTGATCTGTGGTTGTTGGTAGTGTTTTCGAGATATTTTGACACAACACAATGAAACCACAACAGTCACTTTGAATGACATTGCTTTCACTTTCACAAAATGTAACCCAAGGAACTTCATTCATTAAAACAAAATAGCCACCAGTCAGCCAATACATCTGTATATCTATGAAATGATGTACAGTATATATGAATTTATCAACTTTGAACATAGAACCACTGGCAGTAGAATTCATTCAAATAAAATGGCCACCAGTCAGCCAATACATCTGTATATCTATGACATGATGTACAGTATATATGAATATATCAACTTTGAACATAGAACCACTGGCAGTAGAATTCATTCAAATAAAATGGCCACCAGTCAGCCAATACATCTGTATATCTATGACATGATGTACAGTATATATGAATATATCAACTTTGAACATAGAACCACTGGCAGTAGAATTCATTCAAATAAAATGGCCACCAGTCAGCCAATACATCTGTATATCTATGACATGATGTACAGTATATATGAATATATCAACTTTGAACATAGAACCACTGGCAGTAGAATTCATTCAAATAAAATGGCCACCAGTCAGCCAATACATCTGTATATCTATGACATGATGTACAGTATATATGAATATATCAACTTTGAACATAGAACCACTGGCAGTAGAATTCATTCAAACAAAATGGCCACCAGTTGGCCATTTTAAAACTGATCCTGAAAAAAAAAATGACATGCATCAAGTCCTATAATGTCCAATGTATGTACCAGGTTTAAACAAAAACCATCTGTAAACAACCAAGACGCATGCATCGACGCATGCACATAGATTAATGCTTATGTCCCTGTTTTTGGACCACGTCTGAACGGGGACTAATAATGCAAAAAGTAGCACCAGAATTTTGGCAGTAAAACTTACGGCAGTAGAAAGGTTTGTGTTACATTTGTTACTTTTTTTCAGGAGGAATAAATTATAAATAAAACTCAAAACGTAATCAGAGACAAGAAAAAAACAAAAACACAACATATTTAAAATAATGAAGATGTCAGCAAAAAAATAATATTCTACACCATACAGTAACAAACATTCACCGTTTTAATACAATATTAATGCAGCATACTGATTTCAAGACATTTGCACTCTGAAATTCTGCTAATATTTACTTTATATAGATATAGCAAGACATGTATTGATTTGTAACTGAGACCACTCAGGTCTGGGTATATAATAAATAATTAAGTGAGCTGAGCATAATGTCAATGATAATGACAATACTAGATTATGCAGTACTATTTATAGTCCTACAGCAGTAGTGCAATAATGTGTCCTCCATGAAAAATTAGTGCTAAGTAACTTACCTCTATTGTATTATTATAGTAATTGTGTTCAGTTGTTTATTCACAATTAATTCCACAACATATACAGTGAATTCTGTCAAAATCTAACTAATGTGCCAACTGTCCTCCACAATAAAAAAAAAGCGCTAAGTAACTTACATAAAAATATAATATGTTAATTACCTCTATTGTATTATTATAGTAATTGTGTTCAATTATTTATTCACAATTAATTCCACAACATATACAGCTTAACACATGTTCAGTTCATAAGAGCGAGTAGGTAATAGGCATGTACATGTACTTATGTTAATGACAGACACGTCTGTGGTCTGAATAAGCAACATTGTGATACAGTACATGTATAAATAAATGCAATGTGTGGTTTATATACACTCCTATTAGAGCAAATATATTGTATGGTATTCTCGGTGGCGGACATCCGGGCATTTTCAACACGTGGCAACCATCACGGTAAAAACAAATGCCAAAACCTTTCAGAAAACTGTATTTTTGGATAGTTGTTGAGACTTCCTGAACAGTGTAACAAAATGATCCCTACATGTACAACATATATTAATTTGATTGCTCAGTTGAGTTTGTGTTGTGTTTTCACCAGCTCCTCGACAAGCATTCCACAGCAGCTCGCGCAGAGCCTAAGAAATACATGATACAGTGATGCACGTCTCAGCAACATAGAACATACTGTGACGTAGCTCCGTCCCGAGAACAGAACGTTTTTATACTATATATACTGAGCATGTACAGTAGGACACGGTGATGCAATAATACAGTAACAGCTTTTGAATACTACAACTTGTGGGAATATTCTAGAATTACTGAACGAAATGTAATGACGAAATAAGATACCCGTATTTGTTAGCTAGTCGTGTCTGTCTGTGTGGTGCATACAAAGACATGTTTTCTTACTAATGACTCAGTATTTATTTACCGTATATGACAAGGTTCCTTTAGGCTGTCGAATCATTCCCTTGCAGTTTTTTCTTTTGCTCTTATTTGCAGTGTCTAGAAGAAAAAGAAGAAAATAAAGAAATCAAAAAACAAACAGGATGCTGTCATGCTTTGACAATAAACCGCAGCTGAAGTCATTTAAATCAACGATTGGAGATGAAATTGTTTAAATGATTTACTGAGTTTTTATTTGGTTTATTACACTGACTGGACAAAACTATAATCAAACCAGTGTTAGTGACCACTTTTATATAACAATTACTTGCCTTCAGTAGTGACCACTTTTGGGTAGTCACATGAAAAACCACCTATTTCATGTGATTACTTGACTGCCCTTTTGGCAATGGTATGGTCAAACAAGTCATTGTCAATGACATGTCCCCGTTCCGTTCATATTTGAGTGACATATACATTCAAAGCAGATCATGACCGAAATGCACCTGCATATGTACAACACATTGTGCTAAATCTGAACAAAATCCATCCATGCATGACTGAGATCCGGTTCTGGAATTGTGAAAATACGTGATTTTGATGCATTTTCGGCCTTAAATTGGCCATCATTCCGCTATTGTTAAGCAGATCATGAAACAAATGCACATATCTATTTGTGACATGATGTACCATGTGTGTGTGAAGTTTGAACTTGATCAATCCAGACATGTCTTGGATACGGATCCAGAACTGAATTCTTTAACAAAATGGCCGCCAGTCGGCCATTTCGAACTTGATCCG